TGGCACAATATTTTTTATTTTAATTAAAATAAATTTTATCAATAATATTTTTTAAAAATATAAGCATTTTTTTGTTAATGTAAGTATTTTTTTGGTTTAAAAAATATTTAGGGATTTAATCGTTCAAAATATAAAAGTTCATTGTTATTTTCGAATTTTTTAATTATTTTACCACATAAACCAATTTTATAGATCATAAAAATGTATCTAATAGGTTTTAAAAAGTTTAAAAAATTGTTTAACAAGTTTTAAAATATCTAAATAATTATTTATTTTGAAAAATTATCCACATACTTAAATCATTCCAGACAGTTGAAATATTATTTTTACATGAAAAATGAGAGTCATAATCAATTTTGGCGGGTTGACTTGGAATCATCGATCGGAGGGAGTACGAGTATGGAAGGAAGCAAAGCCGAAGAGGGAAATCAGACGATGAAGCTGTACTCCCACTGGATGAGCTCCTGCTCTCGTCGTGTTCGTCTTGCTCTTCACTTAAAAGGTTTCGCCTCTTTCTATACCTCATTAAATTCCATATATATATATATATATATATATATATATATATGGTTGGGTTCACGCGAGACCAAGAGTTTTTCGTGAGACTTGTAAAACCAATTTATGTTCATTGATCAACTTTATAAGCTAATGGTCTAAAGTTGCATGGTGGACAATTATGTGATTATTGAGAAGTCTCGTAGCTTTTATGAATGTTCAGATTGTTTGACTGTAGATCTAATCTAATGGTTGAGAATTGGTCTTACGGGTCTTACGAAAAACTATTGGTCTCACATAATCCAAAGTCTCTGTCTCTCTCTCTCTCTCTCTCTCTCTATATATATATATATGTATGTATGTATGGATTACTTAAATATAATTGATGACAAACTTAACCACCATCAGACACTCTAACACAGTAATATGTTAATAAGTATGAAAAATCGTGATTGAATCTTGTCGGTGATTTCTTTTCACCGACGGATTAGCGACGGATTTTAATTAATTATGTATTTAATTAAATTTTATTGTTAATCCGTCAGTAATTTAATCAAATTATTTTCTATTTTTTTGATTTAGAAAATCATCAACGAAATATATTTTATTTTTAACTAAAATAAATTTTATTAGTAATGTTTTTTAANATATATATATATATATATATATGTATGTATATGTAACTCGATCTGTTGAATGTTACTTCCGGTAGCAAAATTAACACCAGATGTAATCTACAAAGTTCGATGGATGATCAATTTTTACTTGAATTGTTTCGATATTTTCTGATGATAGAAGATACTCATGTAAACGATAAGGGTTTCTTCTCTTTATAAAATGTTGAAGGGATGATCACATAATTAACAAAAACTGGAGTCGATCCATCACAAAATGATCAATCTTTTTCCAAATTAGGATAAAACAACCACATATTTCGCAAAAACCACCATTTAAAACCCTTTCTTTAAGGGAGTAAACTATGAGTAATTCCTATACACAGTTATACACTTATGGTATATAAAAGGAAGTAACTATGAATAATTGATTTCAATATGTGTTTGTTTCTGGTATCATTTGCAGGGCTCAAATATGATTGCATAAATATAACCTCCGTCGGTGATCCAGGTGAGAATACAAATACTGCTTACATTTTGACACTTTGAAATTTGAATGGGCTAAATTTGATGTTGAGGTGCTGTAATTTTTTTTGAGGAAAATTGTTAACTACCTAAAATTAAATATCTGTTGGCTAAATCATAAATAGGTTTATAATGGTCACTTTTTGTGATTCAGAATATTTATCAAACAATTATTTTTTATTCTGCACTAAATCATACATAGCCTCTTAGAACATCTCCAATGGAGTGACTTAGAATCTAGTTTTTGCCTTTTTCTGGTCACATCATTGCCAACTCAGCAAATTAAGAACTACCATAAAACTCCACAATGGTAGTGTGTAGTGACTAAGAGCATTTCCAACAGATTCTCTAATATGGAGATTTTAGGCAAAATTTTGCTCGAACAGATTCTTCAAAACTTTTTTTCCAAAATGGAGAAAGAATGAAAGAGAGTTTGAAATTCTCCAAATTTGGAGAACTCTCAAAAAATGATTACCATGAGAGAAGCAATTTTTTATTATCACCAATAAGAAACCTTGATGTTAAATGTTTATAAGAGAGAAATAATATTTTGTTACATGTATAAAATATTTTAATAATATATTAATGTTGTAATCTCCAAAATAGTGAATCGGCTGGAGGTGAATGTAATATTTTTTTGGAGATTTTGAGTCACTATTTTGAAGAAATTTTGGAGAATCTGTTGGAGATGCTAATAAGAACCTTCTTTTGTGGGTTCCATGTATTATTTCATCATCAATAATATGGATATAAAAAACTAATAAAATGTCATTGCACACAAATTAAAGGTACAAGAACTCCATCTATATGGGTGACTTATAAAAACTCTCTCCAATGGAGGTTCTTATAAGTCGCTACACTTTTTGCTAATAAGATGCTTTTAATCATTCTAACTACTCAATAATTATGTACCAAATCATTCAACATCTACAACATATCCCCTTAGTTCTGCAAAGCGTAGAGCTCTATAATTTCTGGTGCAAAGAGAAAACTAAATTTCTTATATTGAGATTTGTAATACAGAACTTCTAAAGGTCAATCCTATGGGTTATGTCCCTGCGCTGGTGGATGACACTACTGTAATTTCAGATTCTTATGCCATCTTATTAGTGAGTCATTTATATTCATTTCTCCTTCAAAGCTCCCTTCTCATATAATTTATCACCGATGGTGCGAAATGGTGCTAGTCAATACTCTTTCCGTCCCAAAATAGATGTCCACAATGAAAAGGCACACAACTTTAGGAATGTGCAACTGTTACGCTTTTTAGTTAACTAAATGACAGTTTTACCCTTAATAATAGAGATATAAATTATCTCCATCTCATAAATAAGGGTAGAATGGGAAAGTAGACACTTTTGAAAATGGACACTTATTTTGGGATAAAATAAAATATAGAAATGTGGACCCTTATTTTGGGATAAAATAAAATATAGAAATGTGGACACTTATTTTCGCATCGAGGGATAATATTTTTATAAGATCTTTGTCAATTACAGTATCTGGACGAGAAATACCCTCAATATCCTTTGTTGCCACAAGATCTTTCGAGAAAAGCTATAAATTACCAGGTAAATAAGTTTCATTTTTTTTACTCATATGACCATGTATTAGGGAATGTTTGGTTAGAGGTATTAAGCAATAATTAATGGGGATGGAAATAAAAGAAGTTGTTTGGTTTTATATAAAATAATGGGCTCATCCCCCCGAAGCCCAAATTATCTATCTAGGTTAAACCGGGGGAATGAAAATTAACTCCCACTTTCCATTCCTTGTCATTTTCGGGCTGGGAAATGAAAAGTGGGAACGAAAATTAATTCCCATTTCCCATTCTTTGTCATTTTCATTTTCATTCCCATTTTTCATTTCTCAGCCTGAACCAAACAACCTCTTAATTCCACATCATCGAAGCAAGAAACATTGTGGGCTGATGTTCCCAATTCCTTAAACAAATTATGTTCCTAGCATCTACATAAAAGGGGGTAAGTGGATTGATTAAATTCTCGAAAAGAGAGGTTGAAGCAAATAATGTGTAGATGAGGAACTTCTTTTCCCGGAGAAGAAGCAATGACGGTATCTGGGGAATGACAACTCCCAGCAAAACCAAATAAACCCAATATATCCACTCAAAAGTAGGGTCTGAGAGGGGTAGGGTTTACACATACCTTACCTTAAGTCTTAACCACAAGGATCTATCAGTTGCTTTCGTAAAGACCCCCTACTTTTGCACAGAAGAAAGGGTGTGTTCAAGTAGGAAATAAGATAGGTAATACAACATGTAGAATAACGATTCAACGGTGTGCAAGCAGACAATGTAGTCAAGTAAAACATGTAATATAAGTAGAAAACTAATGTGCATAGCAACTTAAACATGTAGGTAAGACCAGTAAGAAAGACAAGCAAGGAAGTTAGGTCCTATCAGCACAACAACCTCCTCTCAGTACCCTTGTCACTGACTACCAGATCCTACAAAAAACACCCAATTTCTAAAAGTTTGATGGTTTATTTATTCAAAAATGGTTTAGAGATTTAATAATTCAAATAGAAAAGTTCATTAGGTTTTTCTGAACTTTTCCCTAACTTTGATATATGTAATGATCTCCTTTTTTTCGAAATATGCATTTTAGTCGTGTATTTCTGCTTCATTCACCGACTATTTGTATGTGCTAGGTTGCAAGTATTGTTTCATCCAGCATTCAGCCGCTTCAGAATACGTCATTAGTTGTGAGTAGAAACTTCTGGTGATTTCTGTTTTTTGGCATCTCATCATCTCATTCTTTTTTATCCAATTGACCATGCTTACATTTAAACAGAATTATATTGGGGAAATTGTTAGTCCTGATGAGAAGATTCCTTGGGCACAGTATCATATCAGGAAAGGGTTTGTAGGTAAGGATAATGCTGACATCATTATAATCGATCCATGTCTTGTTCTTATGCTGTTTGTGTTAGAAATCGGGGTTTTTTGATCATACAAAGACTGGATAAATCAATTGTATCACATATTGTTCGTTTTCCAAATACACTAGTTCGACCCTATTAGCCTTGGGTATCACGAACCGAGTATAGGGATAATCCAATGATAACTCTAATTACAAAGGCTGTAAAATGAGTTCCTTATATACACCTAAATTCCATGTTTTACATATTTATATGATAGATTGACAGTTTTATGATGGATAAGATTGAACCTGATCGATAACTGACTCAGAAGCTCCGAGTCGCCTTCTTAACTAGAAGCTTCTGATGCATACTTAGTCTCGAAGTTATCAAGTTTCAGAACCAACTCAAGAACCGATTCGAAACCCCTTTACGGCAATCTAAGGTGATGGAGCCAAAATTTGTGAGTGTGCACTCCGCACCTCGAACTTACTTTATGTTTGCCTTATCGATCCCAAGTAATTCACAATTACACCATTGATGAGACTAAAAGCACCAACAGTTTGAAGAGCCTTTTATCTTCTCACTTCATTTTTCTTGATACCTTCCCAAACAGGTAAACAATCTCCATACCTAGCGTTATCCTATTATATAAACCAAATCAAACGAACCTAGGAAATCCCATCTGGAGGTTGGGTCTGGGAGGGTAAAATGTACGCATACCTGACCTCTATTGTGATATATTATTGTATCCTAGTTGCACTACAAGAACAGTCCATTTTAAAGCAAGAAAACTGATAAAAGCCTAATTATGTGATCACTTCTGCAGCTCTCGAGAAGCTATTAACGAACTATGCTGGAAAATATGCTACTGGAGATGAAGTTTATCTGGTATGTTTATTCTTCACCGCTGCAATCTAAGGTGCTGCTGCATATAGTACCCGTGCAATATGACCGAGGCTTGAATTTTGTTATCTTCATGATTGCCGGAAGGCTAGGTTGTAACGGGATATGTGGTGGCCAAAAATCATAGGTCCTATAATAGACCTTAATAGGTCCTATGAACCAAATCAGTACCTAGAATCTAGATAGACCTTAAGGGCTTGAATTTTGTTATCTTCTTTGTCCTATAATAGACCTTAATAGGTTCTATGAACCAAATCAGTACCTAGATAGACATTAAGGGCTTGAATTTTGTTATCTTCTAGGTCCTATAATAGACCTTAATAGGGGGAAATGTACATAAATAGCCAAAGCTGATAGGTGGTTTCACTTTTTAGCCATTTTCTAACCCAAATTCACTTTTTAGCCAATCCTTATGCAGAAGGCTTACACATAAGGATTGGCTAAAAAGTGAATTTGGGTCAGAAAATGGTTAAAAAGTGAAAGCCTATTTGCTGATTGGCTATTTCTATCAATTTCCCCTTAATAGGTCCTATGAACCAAATCAGTACCTAGATAGATATTAAGGGTCGTTTGGTACAAAGGACACCTAGATAGACCTCAAGGGTGCATCTGCCGTTAGGTACATAGCACGGTACAAAAATTTGTCATCCCACGTTTGGTGCGACATCAGACTGATGCATGAAAGGACCTAAATGAGACAAAGATGCATGTTTTCTCCCCACCAAAATAAGTGAAATAAAAGTCATGTAGATTGGACAAGATTGATAAATTAGTAAACCACCCATGTCAAATTAATACCCTAAAACCTTCCACAATTCTTTCACCTGCCTATATCAGTCTGTTACCAAATCCACCCTAAAAGTTATGGAGGATGAGTCTATTAAACTTACATTTGAAATACATGCTGAAAGTGAATAGCCAGAAGTTCTCCAAAATCCCCAATTGATTGGATTTCTATGCAGTTATTTACGTTTGTTATATATATTTTATTGGTTGTTTGCAGGCCGACTTGTATCTAGCACCCCAACTTGATAATGCAATCAACCGATACAAGCTTGATATGGTAGTGCCTGCTCACAAGAGCTACTAATATGCGAAGTTTATACTTTTAGTTTTTATAAATTGCATTTGTCTATTGTTTCTGCTGGTTCCTTTACATTTTCATCGTGTTCAGTTTTCTGCATAACGTCATTATTCCAACCAGTAACATTTGTCTGTTAATTGGTGCAGACTGAGTTCCCTCTCCTAAGTAAATTGAACAAGGCTTACAGCGAATTGCCATCTTTCCAACAAATGCTGGCTGAAACACAAAATCTAGATGCAGGTCAAGTGAAGTAGTATATGCATATACATACATATATACATATTATATATATATATATATATAGAGGTTGGTTATTATACAACCCTTGACATTTGTGCAACCAATACAACCCAATCTCAACCGTCCATTTCATTTGATTAATATGTGATTTCATAGAAGTTTTGATTGTTTCCTAATATAAAGTATTGATCATAATTAATGAACCATATTCATCTTCCATAAATATTCAAATCATAATAAATGAACTCTCATCATTTCCATAAATATCTTAATTTATTGGGTTGCATTGGCTGTACAAATACTACGGGTTGTATTTGAAACAAACTCTATATATATATATATATATATATATATAGACGAGGGATCGTGTAAGAATAATAATTATGATGAGAATGGTGAGAATACTTCTGAATCGTTGGATGAGTCGACTTTTAATCTAACTTCATTTTCCTTCAACTACTTTCAGTACCTTCAACTACATTCATCTACCTTTATCTTCACTTTTAGTCACTTTCACGAACTCTTACATATGTTAATCACTTTCCATATGCATGAATTTGTTAATGTTTCCGTCATGATGATAAAAATAGGTAAACAATGGTAGTTAAAAGTAGATGAATGTATATGAAGCTTTTGTTCTCACCTTCTCACCATAACTAATTCTCACCAGAACCCAACCCCCCCCTCTCTCTCTCTCTCTCTCTTTCTCTCTCTCTCTCTCTCTCTCTCTCTATATATATATATATATATATAAACTCCATGAGATTGCATTTAAAAATCATATTTTTTAAAGTATATAATATTTATATATACCAAAGCCCAGATACAATCCTCCCTTTTTGTGATGTTTGAATCCTTGACCTCTAGGAGGTTGGGATTACCGGTTTATTGACCATTGATCCTTTGGCTTGAACATTGCCGGTTAGTTTATGAGCATAAAAATCATGTTAGCAAATGCAGGGTTCTGGTTACTGAAAACTATTCAAATTTATGGATCTTGGAACGAGTAAATCTATAGGCACGAAGACGATGGCTATTGTTTTGTCCATTCGAATTTAGTCATAGTTTCTTATTCAACTTTTTGTTCACACTTTAAAAGATTTCTGATCTGACATTCTATCAATCTTTTTATGCAGATAAGATATTCGGTTTGGTCAAGAAATTGGCGGCTTAAGACTCTTCATGTGAAGGGAAACCCACACTCGCACTTGAATAAAATCTAGGAGCTTAGGGCGTCCTCTGTCTCCTTAAATTATACGTGGTCATTGTTTACCTGTTAGCCCTATGGCTTCGACGATGCACGTTGGTAAAATATACTTTTGTTAGTTGTGAGTGTCCGGACCAACTTGTGAACACTTCGATTAATCTCATGGGGCGTGGTGGCCTTGGAGAGATTTGAACCGGTGACCTATAGGAGTCCCAAAGGCCCAAACTTTGTGTACTTGATGTATAATGATTATGAAACTCGAATATGTGTCAACTTGACTACAACCAACAAGGTCTTATAGCTTTGGTTCGGCTTTTGCTATGTTGCGCATTAGCCCGATGCGTTGTCTATGAAAGTATAAAAACTAATGTTACACGATGATGATGATGATGTTAATGTATGGATCGTCGATTATGAATTCATTGTCATTGCTACTTGCATGTGGAAAATAACAGTTACGAGTGTGTAGAATATCATATGATTCAATTAGAACCATGGTTCTAAATAACTCGTTATCGCCTTGTTATGGTGCATTATAACACGAAGACTTGGCTTAGTCACCACGTTAATCCATGTGGCTCCACTTTAAGGTTTGACTTGTGTCGTAACGTGTTATGATGTGTTATTTTGTACGGATGGTGTTTTTTTTATTATTTTTTTGAATGTATAACTCGAGGGATAAATGATAAATGTATACGACACCTGAGACTTAAATAAACATTAAAAGGAAACATAATAACTAAAATCCTAAATAAGTAAAAGGGTGTTTGAATGTGTTTCCAAAATGATAATTGTGAAGTTCAAAATCAGAATAAGATTATTAGCTGCAATGAAATAGTTAAAGACCTTGAGTTTGTTGTTCATTCTCACTAGTTTTAAGTCCCTTCTAAGCCATGAAGTGTTGCTTGACTGTTAACTTTACAACCATTAAAGTTACTCCAGTTGTGCGAAAACTGGTCAAGACGCCCACATTTTTTAAAAAGATACCGAAGTTAAAATTAATTCATCCTGAAAAATCAGTTTTACCTCAACAATTCTTTTCTGTTTCATCAAGATATGACTATTTTGACAAAAGAAAATAAGAATTCCAAATCCGAGTCAATATACAGATATATATTGGGGAAATTAATTAAAATGACCATTTTGACCGCATGGTTTTACTACTTTTAACTATGAAAGACTAAAATAGAAATGAATTCTAAGGGCAAAACACTACTTTTAACTATGAGAGCAAAACACTATTTCTATTATGAAGGACTAAAATAGACATGAATTATAATCATAGGGATGAAAAAATCAATAAATTTTAGATCATAAGGACGAAAAAGATACTAATGGATTCGAGCCCATAATCATGGGTTCTAATGCACGAGAACTTGTAGCACTTACCAATGAGGCCCTTCCTCTCCATTATTTCAAAAAGGTACTTTTGGAACACCAATAGGCGTTAAATGAAAGAAAAAAAATAATGAATTATAAATCATATGGAAGAAAATCATAATTTCAAAACAATAAGGACAGAGATAGAAATTTGTAACAAACCACAGGGACTAAAAATGTAATTTACTCTATATATCTAAAATAAAATTAATTACATTCAATATTTACTATGCCTTTTCTCGAATTTTAGAAGAAAAGGAAAAAACCAATAGAAAAATATTTTTTTTATTTATTAGAAGGGTCTCGTGTAATGCAGCGAGATAAATCTTTATTTTAATGTTTAATTTTTATTATTTGTCTCTATCAATATAATACGATTTTACATGGTTTTGAGAAATCGATGATGTTTTTATTTTTGAATGAAATATAAATTTGAAGATAGCATAAAAAAATTTAAAAACTAAAATTGATATTAGTATTAAATTAACTATTTAATAGTTCTCATTTTTTGATGTAACTTCTTTAATTCAATTTTTTATTATAATTTAATTTAGGTCTAATAACAAAGTAATTTATTTTTGGTTTAATAATATAATTTTTATTAAAGATAATAATTAAACATTCGGTTAGAAACTCAATGATTATCTTAATTATATTTTAGATTTCCTATATTTAAAATATATGTTTATCCTATATTTGATTATGTTTATCTGCAGTTAGTTACACGAATTTAAAAATAAAGCTTTAATAAGTTGTACTTACGCAAAGTCACTTATAAACTTGAATTTTAAGTAATATGTATCAATAAACAGTACTTCATGCATAAAAAATGATTTTTAAGAGTTTTTATCAAATGCTTTATAATATAGTATAGATATAGATATTCTCAGGAGGAAAGGAAAAGAAAGAAAATAATTTTGTGCGTTTTTAAACAACTGAAAAATTGAAAAGATGCCAGTTTTTCAAATTTACTGTTTAAAAATATATCCTTTAAAATAAAAAACTACATAGTTTTTTTGATTTAGTAGTAACTTTTTAAGGAGTTTTAATTTCTTTCCTGTTATTTCCTTCCATTTCTTTTGTTCCCCAAAAAAGTTTGGAAAACACGAGTTTTTTTTTATTACTTTCCATCCATTTCATTCATAATAAAGGTTTCGAGAATACAATGTTAATATTTTGTACATAATTTTGTTTTGAAAAACCATGCGATAATATTTGAAAACTTATTATTTTCGCAAAAATTCAATTTTAATTGGTTTTGTCTTTCCGTTGTACCATTTCATTATAATTAATTAAAATCGGAATGTGAATACATGATCTAGGTTGCAAACCCCTTAAAAAGTCTGTTTCAGCCCGCATAAATGAAGCAAGACGTACTGCTGCCCACCCTAGGAATAATAGAAGAGAGTTATCTCTCGCTGGCTTAAAAGTCGACGATTAGACATCTTTTAGCCTTTTCGTCTAGAATATCATAAATCCTAGGATTGGTTTAATTAATATTAAATACAATTCATAAAATATCATTTTTCCATTTAATTTTAAGGATTCTCATTGGGAGAAATAAGGAAGTGTTTGGTTAGAGGTATTAAGCAGTAATCAAAAAACTGTTTGATTTTCTATAATATAATGGGCTCATTCATCCAGAAGCCCAAAATTTTATTCATGGTTAAACTGGGGGAATGCAAATTCATTAAAATGCTGGATTAATGAAATATTTTATATTATAATCAATGTTGGATTTTATAAAATGAAAGAATCTGTTGGAGATGAATGTAATATCTTTAGAGATTTTGATCTTTTGTTCTCCATTTTAGAGAAATTTTAAGAAATCTGTTGGAGATGCTCTTAGAAAAGAGAAATTATATTTTATTTTTCTCGTCAATAAAAAATCTTGAAATTAAATGTTTAAGAGAAATAAATAACATTTTATTAATTGAATCAAATATTTTAATAATATAATTAATAGAGGTGTTCATGGTCCGATTTGAGCGGTTTAACTCGTCATACCACAAACCAAACCGTAATGATGGTTTATAAAATTCTCAAACCGAGTTTGACATCAAGTGTCCAGACCGGTCAAACCAGACCATGAAAAAGCGGTCTGGTCTGACCGGTTTAGGCGGTTTGGACCTTAATGATAAATAATTAAATTATATATATATATATATATATATATTTGGCGGTCGTTTTGGTTCAAACCGCCCAAAAAAGGTTATAGATCGTACCAGATCGCCCGGTTTTGCTATTTTTCAAACCAAACCAAACCGTCAGACCGTTTAAACCGCCAAAAACGGTCCGGTTTGACTTGATTCGGTTGGTTTGAACGGTCCAACGGTTTTTTTGAACACCCCTAATAATTAATATCATAATCTTTAGAATATAACAGCTCTTGGAGATTAAAGTAATTTTTCTTTGTAAATTTGGATTTTTAATTCTCTATTTTGAAAAATCTATCAGATTTGTTCTTGAAATTAAATATATAGAAGAAAAATAATATTTTATGAAATATTTAAATATTTTAATAATACTAGAGGAGTACTCGCGTAATGCAGCGAGACACATCTCGATTTTAATGTTCAATTTTATTACTTGTCTCTGTCGATGTTATTGTAACAATCCTCACATCTTAATACACATAATTCACATCATCATTCTCATAATACTAAAATAGTATTATTACAAAACATGAACTATCAAAATGTATTTTTTTAATACATATGCATAACAAGCTAATATCAACAATTTAGAGTTGTCCCTTGCCTTTATCTTTCAGAGCACGCTGTCCTGCAAAAYAGGTTAATCCAACATTTGAGCGTTAGACCAAAAGGTCTAGTGAGTGTATAATCTCATTCAACAATATACATTCCAAACAATCAGTTTAGAATCAAACCTGTTCTG